CCCCCTGCTCCCATGGGGCTCTGTGCGGCCGCACAGCTCACACATAGCCGGCCGGGATCAGGGCTGTCAGACCGGCCCCAGGTGCCGCGACCCACCGGGAAATTTCCCGGTATCCCGGTGGGCCAGTCCGGCCCTGCTCATGGGAACTAATTAAGAGAGATGTCGGCCCATTCCCCGGCCACGGGACCACCGGGGTCTAAACAGAACCCACGGAGGAGCAGGCCAAGGAAAGATTAGAGAGAGAGCACATGGAAACTAGAAGTCCTGGGAACAGGACTGGTAGACAGGGGACAACACTGAAAATTGACCTGGGAAGGGGGCAGGGGCCAGAAGGGTGAAGGGAAGATCTGGTAGGGTAAGAGAGCGGGGGTGGGGGGACATGACAAAGAAGGGGAGGCGGAGAGATAACTACACAAAACAATATATAATAAATAACAAGAGGGGAGCAAATGGGGGGACGGAAAAGGATAGGAAGTAGAAAAAGAAGTAGGGGAGAAGGCGAGGAGAGGGGGGGAAACCCCTCCACCACGCATGATCGGCATTCACGTATCAATTACCTCTTCCTCCAGCAAGAGAACCTCATACACCTTCTAAAGGTGTCAATAGAAGCAACAACCTGATCGGATTACAGACCGGTGCTGATAACAATGAACTCACCTTTATCTAAAACAAAAGAATGAATGTGACGACTCAATGACTCCTTACTGCTTGACTACTTCAAGGCAGAAGTGGAGGAAACCTTGTCTCTATACTTTAAAGAGAACGTCATCGAAGGCATGTCCCTTCTCACAATATGGGAAGCTCACAAGAGTGTCATCAGGGGCTTCATAATAGGCCTAGCAATGAAGAAGAAGAAAGAAGCATCAAGATACCTGATGGAGCTAAAAGCCCAGATCCATATCCTTGAGACCCAACATAAAAGGTCGCAATTGGAAGCCGTGTACAAGGAGCTATTGAACACAAGAAGACAGCTGAAGGACATTCTCCTGCGCCAACATTTCAAAGGCATACAGAGATCCAAAGGATTCTTTTACACACACGCAAACAAAGGGGATAAATACCTAGCACGCATGCTCAAGGGACCAAGGCAACACACACAGATACATAGCCTTAACATATCATCAGGAGTAACATTTCCTTTTCCACAGGACATCGCTAGGGAATTCCAGGATTTCTACTCCAAACTCTACTGAACCTCAAGCAACCACCCTCCCGACACGGAAACAGAATGACTGAATCTCATCAAGGATTATCTAAATTAAAACAGACCTAAGGCACTATCACCCAAGGTAGCTGAAACACTGGGCTTCCCTGACGCAGAAACAGAACTAGCCGCCACGATCAAAAACGTTAAATCAGGGAAAGCACCTGGACCAGATGGCTTCTCCACAGGGTATTACAAAATGTTCTCCTAACTTCTAATACCTAAATTATGAAAGCACTAAACAAGTTAGCAGCCGGCGGTGCCTTCCACTTAGAATCCTTAACTGCTACAAGCTATAGATCAATCTCGCTCCTGAACGTGGATGTTAAACTATTAACCAATATACTGGTGACTAGAATCCAAAAATGTCTACCCGACCTAATTCACCCAGATCAATCGGGCTTTATCCCTGAACGAGAAGCCAGTGATAGCACACTCCAAGTGTTCACACTACAACATTTAGCACGTAAGAGCTCTAAACGCATTCTCTTTTTGTCGATAGATGCCGAAAAGCCGTTTGACCAAGTAAACTGGGCATTTATGTTCACAACCCTGGAGACCATGGGATTTGGAGAAAAATTATGGACGTGTATCTCAGCTATGTACACAACACCTACTGTGAGGGTACGGGTAAACGGGGCACTTACTGACAGTTTCAAGATCTACAACGGAAACACCAGAGCTGTCCCCTCTCGCCCCTGCTATTTGCAATCTCCCTCAAGCCCCTCCTCATCGCAGTCCAAGGCAACAGAGACATAACGGGACTACGAGAAAAGAGCACGGAACACAAAGTGGCAGCCTAAGCGGACGACATGATATTCTTCGTCACCAACTCATTGATCTCCCTACCTTGCCTAATGAGGGAGTTAGAACAATATGACAGGATAGTGGGTCTTAAATTAAACCTGTCAAAATGTGATGCCCTCAACATCTTCATACCAACGGACGAATACGAAACCGTGAAACGCAACTTCCCTTTTTACTGATGTACGGATAAGATGAAATATCTGGGGACATGGGTGACGACAACCCCGGGTGACCTATACAGAGCTAACTTCTCACCCATCCTGAGGAACATCACAGAAGGTCTCAATAGATGGTCATACCCACATATCTCCTGGATCCTGAAGATGAATATCCTACCAAGACTGTTCTATCTCTTCCAGACGATGCTGCTATCAGGACGTTTTTCTTCTCACTGCAGTCTGCGGCTATCCATTACATCTGGAGAGGAGAGCGTTTGCGTACCTGACATGATCTGCTGTGTATGCCCATAGCTTTGGGGAGGTTTGGCATTACCGGACTTCAAAAGGTATCACCAGGCAGCCACCATGCAACACATACTAGAATGGCACAGGCCAAAACCACATCAACAATGGCTTATTCTGGATTGGGCAGGACGGGAAAAGCACATGCATGCAGCAGTCTGGCAAGGGCGGTTAGAAACCTTAGATCGCGAAGCAGCCGAAACCCCGGTGTATCACAAACTATGGACCAGGACATACTTGAAAACGAGAGAAATCTCAATGTATCTTTCCTGGTAAAATATTTTATAAATAAATAAATAATGGACATGGAATGGGATTAGAGGTGGGATGCACAGCTCCCCAACTCCAAGCCCCCTAATACCGCTGCAGCACAACAGGGAACTAGGAGGCGTCCTGCACCCCCAGGCGTGGAAGTTCATTGAGGAGCCCCAATTCATTCCATAAGGCACTAAATACCAATGGCATAAGGGACCTACAGGAAATCACAGGGGCAGAAAACCTGACGCAGCTGGACAAATTCAGACACACCCAGACACACAAGGAAATGCACGTGCGTAGGGGACAGCACCTTGGAAAAAGCCACATAAGTTTTTATACTATCACCTTCTCACTGGAAACAAGACAGAGAAATCCACATTTAAGAGACGATGGGAAGGAATCCTTGGCAAAACACTCACCGAAATGTAGTGGGAGAAGGTGCTGATCCTCAACCATAAGAGCACAAGCAATTTGGGTTACCAGGAAACAAACTACAAAGTGTTATCCACATGGTACCGCACTCCAGAACTCCCACACAGGATATTCAAGGACACCCCCCCCCCCCAACCTGTTGGAGATGTAACACTGAAGTAGGTACGATAGAACATAAAGTTACAAGAAAAAGTACGTGAACACTTTGGAATGATATAGATTTCTGCACAAATTGGTCATAAAATGTGATCTGATCATCATCTAAGTCACAACAATAGACAATCACAGTCTGCTTAAACTAATAACACACAAAGAATGAAATGTTGCCATGTTTTTATTGAACACACCATGTAAACATTGTCTTTGTTTCCATTAAACAGTGTGCTATGCATACTGAAATGAGAAATACATTTATACATTACTTTGCATTACACTCTATATATTCCGTTATTTTGGAATAGATTTTTTTGCTAAATGCTTGGTAGTGTATGGGGTTAATGAATTGTAAACTAAAATATTCTCTTGTCAATATCAGTTACTTTAAAACATACAGTAGAAAAATAAAACAAGAACAATTGTTTGCCCACTAATGAAAAGGTATGTCAGTGACTGGTCCCAAAATCACCCATTCAACACACAGAGATTGAACAATGACATATTGATGCAATGGGATGTTAAATGGTTCCTCCATTTTTTTTGGATTTAACAAACTTAGTTTTAATTATTTTCCTAACCCAGCATAAAATACTTGTCATGCTGTGGATTTAAATGGATATTCTACCACATTAATGTAATCCAACGAATCCATGGATAATTCTACATTGTCACATTTATCTAGGTGAAAACGTGTAGCTCCCCATTTTTATCTACATTGAGATGTACCTGTCCCTTTTGTGGGTGTATTTTTTTCTTTAAGCTCGGTTAACGCAATTCTTTACTTGGGTTTCATTTTTAAGATTTATATTTTAGTTTTAGACATGTGTTTATTCATTTTTTTTTGCAGATAATGCTTCATTTATATGTCACATTTTATATGTATATTTTATTTTGTATGTTATGTTTTTTTGTTATCTAGTGTAGAGTCTTTATGTGATGATTTTGTTCAGCATAGTGCTAATAAATCATTCAGTCAAAAGAACTGCATGGGAACAAGTATTAACTCATCCCCTTAGAACAGCTTCATCCATTCTAGATTTCCTCCCAGGTACAGATATATCATCATTAAGATTGTAATCAGTTTTAATGAAATGAAGATACTCTATATTCTAGCAATTCAGAGATTCACATCTTGGCAACATCCCATGCTACAAAGAAAACTCTTTATGTGTAAAGATAGAGGGAGGAAAACCAAGCTAGAAAAGGAATAGCTGTTGAGTAAATGTTTTCTTTTATTCTATACATTTGATCTGAATAGAACTAAGATTTCTAGAATCCTATTGTAATTGAAGTATCCTCCAACAAATTGATAGGCTCTGCGTGTGGGGCAAGGCTTGTATGAGAAGATATTTCATCCTCCAGGTAACCCCTAACCTCAAAACAACAATTGTTGGTTGTATTATGTAAATATTATTGCAATTTATCAATCAATTTATCAATTTCATAAATAATACACTCCCCGTCTACAGGCAAATACAGCATACTTCACAATTTCTTCAAAATAACTTAAGATACACTAGTCATGTTTATATTCCATTTGTAGGGTACACAGTCACTGTTATGAATATGCAGGGCCGTCTTTAATTTAGATTGGACCCTGGGCGAGCATTTACTTGGGCCCCCTGACTACGTCTAGATACACACAAATACACTACCTGACACACATGCAGATACACACTGACCACATATAGAAACACACAAGAACATACAGATACAAACAGACTACATATAGATACACTGACACACACACAGATACAAACACTGACATACATGCAGATACAAAGGTACACACACTGACTACTTATAGATACACCGACACACACACTGACAGACAGACACACAGATACACAACCTGACACACATGCAGATATACAGATACAAACACTGGCACATACAGATACACACACAAATACAAATGGACAACATACAGATACAGAGACACATTCTGACAGACGTACTGACACAGACTCACACACAGAAAACCATACTGAAACACACATACACAAAGACATACTGAACCACACAGACACTGATGGACTCTCACACACACAGACATACAGATACACTGACAGACGTACTGGCACATATACACACAGACAGACGGACATACTGAAACACACATACACACATATTGACATTGACAGACATATTGACAAACACAGACATACAGAACCACACTGACAGACTCACACATAGACATACTGACAGACATACACACATTCTGGCACACACACACAGACAGACTGAAACACACAGACACAGACACTGACAGATATACACACATACAGATATTTTGAAACTCACAGACAGCCATACTGAAACACACAGACACTGACAGACTCACACAGACATACTGACACACAGACAGACATTCTGGCACACAGACAGACATTCTGGCACACAGACAGACATTCTGGCACACAGACAGACAGACATGCTGAAACACACATACACACATACAGACAGACATGCTGAAACACACATACACAGAGACAGACAGACATGCTGAAACACACATACACACAGACAGACAGACATGCTGAAACACACATACACACAGACACTGACAGACAAACACACATCCAGACATTTTGACATACACAGACAGCCATACTGAAACACACATACACACTGAACCACAGACACTGATAGACTCACACACAGACATACTGACACACTGACAGACATACAAACATACAGACATACTGAACCACACAGACACTGACAAACACACATCCAGACATTTTGACATACACAGACAGCCATACT